AATTGGTTAGACTTGGTTATCGAACTTACCCTCTGCATTTGCGAAGGTGTAAAGAATAATATGAAAGTGGGTTTATAACGGCCTTCGGCGGCCTTTACTTTTCCTACTCTTTAATTTATGTTTTTAATTAATCAAAACGACGATTTTTCAGAATAAATTTGCTTATACCAATGTGGACATAAATTGCGTTATGACCTCTGAATCTATAGCGGAATATGTGTAATTTTTTGTTTATAAAGCCAATTTGCAATTATGCAAATATTTGTGAGTGCAATTAGCAATCTTTTAAGTTAAATTTCGGCTTTTAAAATAGAGTTCTCAAATAGGCGGCGTTGACTTACCTTTTTTGTTTTTTTTTTCATATGTTAATGCTTTAATAAATGCAATTTCTATTTGAATGTATTGTCAGGAATGTATTCCAAGTACCATTAAGTATTTTAAAAACAAAAAAAAAATTGACTTTCGTCCAGCTAGATCTGCTATCCGAACCACTGTGCGTCGTCTTTAATAACATGCTTTTTAATATGTTGCAAACATTGCTGGAAAACCTTAAAATGTTTGCATGAAACCATGGTGCAATAAACAGGTGAAGGAATAAAACAGCTTTCTCGATTTATTTTCTGACATTCAGCTGCCTTATAGTCAAATTTTAAAGGCAATTTTTCAAATTAGGCAGTATCAAAATCTTTCTTCTCGCTCTTATTACTTAACCGGGTATAATTCTGCCATTGCATGGAACAAACAAAAGTTGCCGTTCCTGTTCGCAGCATAGAACACAGAGAATATTGTTTTGAGTTTTATCTTCAGTTAAAGTTTCTGCGTTATCATCACTTACTTCACAATATCGGAACTGTGGATTTCGTTTACGAAGACCAAGCGAACATGTGATACAAAATAGTGATGTAAAAATATGTGAAACTTTACCTACTCTCAGACTTCTAAATTTGAATTTATACTAGGTACAAGCCGGTGTGATGAATGGCGCAGTCCTTCAGGCAGTACGCAGTTCTTAAGATATTTGCTACGCTTTTTACTACGGTTTTCAATTTTTTTTTGTGAAAAAAGAGCACAAGGCAACCCAGGTTTGCAACAGAAATATATTCCCGTTCCATTATTTTTTGAGGAAAGAGTGAGGCAACAGGCTGTGAAGTATCAAAAATGTCAAAATTCCTTGGACACACACATGAAATAATGGCAAATTTTTCTTGACCGATTTCTTGAGAGCTGCATACCAGCCTCTCTGACATTCGGCTGCCGTATAGTCACATTTTATAGGCAAATTTTCAAACAAGGCAGTGTCAAACTCTTTCTTCTCACTCTAATATTACCTCACCTGGTGTAATTCCAACATGGGTGGCGTGCTTGCAATAACACCATACGCACCATTACTCGGACAGCAGTTTCAGAAGTGAACTTCTTCTTCTTTTTTGGCGCTGTAACCGCCTAAGCGATTTTGGCCGAGTTCAGCAAAGCACGCCAGTCGTTTCTCCTCTGTGCCAACTGACGCCAATTGGAAACGCCAAGTGAAGCCAAGTCCTTCTCCACCTGATCTTTCCATCGAAGTGGGGGCCTCCCTCTTCCTCTGCTACCACCAGCGGGTTCCGAGTTGAATACTTTCAGAGCTGGAGCGTCGGTGTCCATTCGAACGACATGGCCAAGCCAGCGGAGCCACTGTATTTTAATTCGCTGCACTATGTCCATGTCGTTGTAAAGCTCATACAGCTCATCGTTCCATCGTCTGCGGTACTCGTCGTCGCCAACACGTAAAGGCACGTAAATCTTCCGCAAAATCTTTCTCTCAAACACTCCAAGAGCCGCTTCATCGGATGTTGTCATTGTCCATGCTTCTGCGCCATATACCAGCACGGGCATGATGAGTGACTTATAGAGCGTGGTTTTCGTACGTCGAGAGAGGACTTTACTCCTAAATTGCCTACTCAGTCCAAAGTAGCACTTGTTGGCAAGAGTGATTCTGTGTTGGATTTCAATGCTGACATTATTATCGGTGTTAATGCTGGTTCCCAAGTAAACGAAATTCTCTACTTTCTCGAAATAGTAACTGCCAACAGTGACGTGGGTGCCAAGGCGCGAATGTGCTGACTGTTTGTTTGATGACAGGAGATACTTCGTCTTGTCCTCGTTTACCACCAGACCCATTCGCTTTGCTTCCCTATCCAACTTGGAAAAGGCAGAACAGACTTCGCGGTTTTTGTTACCGATGATGTCGATGTCATCGGCATAAGCCAGCAATTGCACGCTCTTGTAGTAAATTGTTCCCGAGCGGTTCTGACGGAGCTGGTGGTATTGCTCAATGTCACTTTACATAGCCGTATGAGTTTTGAGGGGATGCCAAATTCAGACATAGCGGCGTATAGGCAACTCCCTTTAGTGCTGTCAAAAGCGGCTTTAAAGTCGACAAATAGGTGGTGAGTGTCGATCCTTTTTCGCGGGTCTTTTTCAAGATTGAGCTTATTGTGAATACCTGGTCTACGGTGGATTTGCCAGGTCTAAAGCCACACTGATAAGGCCCAATCAGTTCATTGACGGTGGGCTTCAGTCTTTCACACAATACGCTCGATAAAACCTTGTAACCTATGCTTAGAAGGCTGATCCCGCGGTAGTTGGCGCGAATGGCGAGGTCACCTTTCTTGTGGATTGGGCAGAGCACACTTAAATTCCAGTCGTTGGGCATGCGTTCATCTGCCCATATTCTGCCCAAGAGTTGATGCATGCACCTTATCAACTCCTCGCCGCCTTACTTGAATAGCTCAGCTGGCAGGCTGTCAGCTCCAGCAGCTTTGTTGTTTTTCAGCCGCCTTATAGCTATACGTACCTCGTCATAGTCTGGCGGTGGAATGTCGACTCCGTCATCATCGACTGCGGGCTCGGGTTCTTCTTCTCCACAACTTTCTGTACCATTTAGTAGGGCAGAAAAGTGTTCCCTCCATAATTTAAGTACGCTCTGGACATCAGCTACTAGGTCGCCATTATTGTTCTTACAGGAGTACGCCCGGTCTTGAAAGCTTCCGTAAGTCGCCTACCTCTCTGGTAAAATTTTCGGGCATTCTTCCTGCCGGCCAGCATGTCAAGCTCTTCGCACTCACGTATTTCGGCCTCTCTCTTCTTATTGCGGCAAATACGTCTCGCTTCCCTCTTCAAATCCCTATAGCGGCCCCACATAGCGCGCGGTGCGCCCGATCGCAGCGTGGCCCTGTAGGCGGCATTTTTTTCTGCAGCTCTTTTTCTCTTGCAGTTGTTCCTTCGGGCTCGCTGAAATCCAACTACTTCTTCGGCGGCGGTACTTAATGAGCGGGAAATATGGTTACACTGCTCGCATATGTCGGTTTGTTGAAGAGTGCTCTCTGAGAGCAGGTGTGAGAGTCGAGTAGCGAAAGCGCTGGTTGTCTGTTGTGATTGCAGCTTTTCGACGTTAAGCTTTCCATGCATATTTGGGGGCACATTTTTGCTGAACAGAGGCGAGTGCGTATCTTGGCTGCAACAAGATAGTGGTCCGAGTCGATGTTTGGGCCTCGGAGTGTGCGTACGTCTAAAACACTGGAAGCGTGCCTTCCGTCTATCACAACATGATCGATTTGGTTTCTCGTTTTTCGATCCAGAGACAGCCACGTAGCTTGGATCTTTTTATGCTTGAACTTGGTACTGCATACTACAATGTTTCGGGCCCCGGCGAAGTCGATCAGCCTCAATCCGTTGTCGGACGTTTCGTCGTGGAGGCTGAATTTCCCGACGGTGGTTCCAAAGATCCCTTCCATTGGCATTGAAATCGCCAAGCACGATTTTGATATCATGACGGGGGCAGCGCTCGTACGTGCGATCCAAGCGCTCATAGAAGAGAGCCTTGGATGCCTCATCCTTCTCTTCCGTCGGGGCATGGGCGCAGATGAGCGAGATGTTGAAGAATCTCGCTTTGATGCGGATTGTGGCTAGACGCTCGTCCACCGGGGTGAACGACAGTACTCGGCGACGGAGTCTCTCTCCCACCACAAATCCAACTCCGAATTTGCGCTCCTTTACATGGCAGCTGTAGTAGACTTCGCAAGGCCCCAGACATTGCTTGCCTTGCCACGTCCAACGCATTTCTTGGATGGCGGTGATGTCAGCTTTGGTCCTTACGAGGACAGAGGCACCTCCCCCATTAAGGGTCCGGACATTCCAGGTGCATGCCCTCAAATCGTAGTCCTTTAAACGTTTGCCGTGGTGGTCATCATAAGGGGGGTCTCATTCGAAAAACTTGTGCGCTTAACCTGAAAAGCATTTAAGCGAATTTTCTTTACTACTTCACTGAGGAAGGTATCCGAATCCCTATGAAACCTAATATTGGAGGAGCGCTTACCACGATGAAATTACTGCAAGCGAAATTTTTTCCGAATGGTATCTAATTTTCCATTTAACTATGTACATAAAATGATAGCCATTTTCGTTGTTCTGCGAGAAGAGCAAAATAAATAAAAGCTTGTAAAATTAGGGTAAGTGTAGAGCCAGTGCAGGTAAACGTAATACTTTCTTTCATATTCGATAATAGTTCAAAATTTTTAATTAGGTATCGCTATTGTGCAGGTATGTTGAATCCATCTATCGGAGCAGTTTCCTTATAAATGTTAAAAATAATGCTGCTGATGCGCAGTTTCGGGTAGGTATCTTAAATGTGCACTTACGCATAAAGGCAGCAAAGCAAAATATACTGTACTTAAAAATCCGTCCATTTAACTTGTTCATGTACTACTTTTTGTCAAATGTAACTGCTTTATTACTCATTATTAAGTTTAAAAGTTGGTCTTATTACTCAAAAAGCAAATTTGTGTTATTTCACATTCAATTGGGAAAGAACACAAATTTGCGTTATTTCCGTTTATGTTATTTCCAGTTGTATTCCAACTCTTAAAATATTTAAGGTATTTTGTGTCCTTATTTTGAATATTTATCTTTAATATAGCGTTATATTAGCATACAACTATAATTTAATTTTATTTTTTTTGTAGCTTCTGTCCCTTTTCGCACCTCTCTGCGTTGACTTTCTGCGTGCGCTGTTTGTACGTTATCTCAATCAACACTGGTGCTGGGATATGGAGAAAACTTTTCCCCAAGTAAGTGCTCTTACACAAATACATGCACATACATACATACCTTAATTCACAAAGGCCCTACCCAACACTTTTCGAAACTGGGATTTTCACAGATTGTGGTAGGATATATTAAAATACACCTCTGGCTAAATCCCTTTTAGCCAAAGAGCAGTATCGTGTGTAGGGGCCTTTAGGACTGCTTTGCCGATTCGATACACACATCCCTAGTGACTGCTCCGATTGTTTTGCTTATAAAAAATTTTATGTATATCTCTGCGGTTACATTAAATCGTTGAATTTGTGCCCTTTTTTATACCCGAGCGCACTTCTGCACAAGGGTATTATAACTTTGTTCACATAACGGTTGTTTGTAACAGGCAAAACGAATCGAGATAGATATAGACAAATGTATACATAAATGATGATGTCTGTCCGTCCGTCCGTCCGTCCGTCCGTCTGTGCACACGATAACTCGAGTAAAAATTTAGATATCTTAACGAAACTTGGTATGTGCACTTCTTTTGGGCGTATGACGGATGGTATTGAAAATGGGCGAAATCGGACAATAACCACGCCTACCTACCATAAAACGGTAATTTACAGAAATACGAAAACTGCGATATTTTAGTAACTACTAAAGATAATTCACTCAAAATTGATATTTACAATGAGTTTTAGACGAAAAATGAGAATATTGAAACATTTTGGCAAATGGGCGTAGCCCATTTCATGTGTATATTTTGGTAACCGCTGCACCAATTTCTTCCAAACTTGGCCCAGTTATTGGCCCTGGTACAGCATACGAAATGGCCGAAAATTTTTAAAATCGGGCAATAACCACGCCCACATCTCATATAACGGTAATTTAGAGAAATACCAAATATTCGATAAATCATTAAATATTAAAGCTAATTTATTCAAAATTGATGGTTACAACAATTCTTAACGAAGAAATATGTTTGTGATAAAAGTTTGGAAAATGGGCGTGGCACCGCCCACTTATGATCACATATATGTATCTCGGTAACCGTTCTACCAATTTGACCAAACTCGGTACGGTTATTGTGCTTGCCACATAAAAGCAAACCGTTGAAAATTGTTGAAATCAAATCGGACTAAAATTACGGCCGCTTTTCATATAACAGTCAATTTCAGAAATGCTTGAAACTTCAATATTTCGAAATTTAAGGACGCTAATTTACTTAAAATTTATACACCCCGGCTTACCATATAGCGGTAGCTTTCGGAAAGGTGGAAAACATATATTTAATACTTGCGCCGCGTATTTAATGTTCGGCTCCGCCCGAACTTAGACTTTCTTACTTGTTCAATTTATATTTTGAATTAATAATAACGCGAATAAGTGAATTGCGATTTTCGAAAATAAATACATTCGTGAACATAGAAAATATACAACTGTGTTTAAATATTGGTCCTTTAGCGCCATAGTTGAACCAAAAACCTGAAAAACAAAACGCATAAAACTGAAAAATTCACAAAAGGTGACTACAGGAGGAAACAGCACCAACAACAACAACCATACGAAGGAAGCCGGCAGTATATTAAATTACTAACCCAAAGTAATAAAAATTGTAAGTAACCTCATTTACTTTCAACGCCAATATTTTCGCATATGGCCCAAATCGCCGAAAACGAAACCAAGGGGAAAATTTTTTTTCTCAGGTTTCGCAGATTTTGGATTATTTCTGGGTCATACATATTCTAAGGTATCGGACAACATCAATATTAACGCGAATCTCCTTCTCTAAAACATGAAAATTCACTTATTCTTGAGACATCTTTAAATAAACGAAAATTAAAAAAGCACAACACGAAACTAAATGGTAGTTTATATTTAAGGTCCACCACTTTTTTGCATTATACTTGCCTCTCTTCGCGTGCCTTGTATTATTTTGAAGTTAATAAAAAAAGGTATTCGACAAAAAAATCAGCGATTAGTTTTCTATATGAAAATCAAGTCGGCAGTATTTTTTAATGTAATGTAACAGTCCAAAATATTAAAAAGTTTTTTGGCGCGGAATCCACCAAAATAAAAAAAAAGAAAAATATAGTTTTCTTCGAGCATTTTCGGCCTTATTTCACAGCAAAATAAAATAGTTCCACATACTCTTCATTACCAATATGTTTTCGTTGGAAAGCTATTTGTAACGTAACAGTCTTTTGAACTAATTTAATTTTTAGGTAACCTTTTTTCCTATTTAGTTAAAGATAGGGCTCATTTTACAAGCAACATTGGAAGCTATTTAACGTGTTATTGTCCCATAGTTAAAACTGTTATTTTTTCTAACTTATATAAACTGAGAATATAAGAATTACGTAGAAAAATAAAAAACGCGAGAATTATATTATTTCAAAAAGGAATGAAGTCAAGAGAAGTGGAATAAGAAGCGGAAAGAAGAAGATTTTCCGATTAAATAATAAAAAATCTATTGGAATTATTTCGGCTATTTTTCTAGTACTACTATTATTCTACAAAATGCCGATTCCGAATCTAACATTTGAAGGGTAAGAATAGTACTAAATAGCATAGAGCAAACAAAATAAGCCATTAAAGCCGTTTTTCGTGAAATTAAACGCGAAAAACTCAACAACTTGGCGCAATTCTAAGATCGAGTTCGAGTTCTACGCAGAAAACTACTTTGGAAACGACCTACGGCTGCACAGCATCAGAAACTTTGCAATCTGTATTCATAATTATCATGTTCTTAATTTCTTTGAATTACTTGTCACATCGCAAGACTACTGAATTCATGCTACTTATTGCATAAAACACACTAAAAGCGATTTAAATACCTAATTATAATCCTATCGCTACACGTATATCGCACAGGTAACGTAACAGTCTTTTTCTGTAACGTACCAGTCCGACTATTTTTTACAAATATTGGCCTCAAAATTAATTTTATCAGTTCAATTAATACGTAGTTCTTGAACTCCATCCTGAAGCTAGGAAACTGTGTACCAACTTTTGAAAACATTATATTAGGAGAGCAGACTTTTTCAATAATATAAAAGTACTTCCAAAAATTGTAATGCAACAGTCCACTGTTGAAAAATTCATAACTCCTAAACCACAGGAGTTACAATATATGTTTGTATGTATTAAATAATGCCACATACTTATGCTTTCAGATGCAAAAAGAAAAATTATCCGAAAATTGTATTCTCGCGAGTTTCAGCGGTATTTAAAAATCAGTGTGAGCCAAAATGTAATGTAACAGTCCGCGTTTTGGGACATATACACATACATGTACATGCTTAAGTGAAAAACGGAAAACTTGCAGTCCCAAATCGCAAGCCAATATCCATAAGCACTTATGTATATACCTCTTATATGTATACAAATTCCCAGTAGGAAAAATTCGCTCAAAGTTCGCTGCCCAGTAGGAAATTTATAAGCGGAAAAATTTTAACGTTTTAACGCAATCAGTGCGAATTTTTTGACAATTTGGTAAATTTTGCGGCCCCAGCAAAGTTCAATAACCCCTTTCAGCTACCCAGCAAAAGGAAACCAAATTTTACGTCGAAAGTGTAAAGCGAAAATGCGTTTGCCCTATTATTAGAGGCTGTAATACGTACGTTTCGGTAACGTACAGTTTCGGTACTGTTTGCTTAGTTTCTCTTCGTTCTCTGCCCCTTCACGAAAACCAATTATTTAATTAGCACCCTGTAAAAAAAAAAAAACTTGTTTTCTCTTGTTTCCTCTTGTAAAACAAATTTTGCCACACGTCACTGATAACCCGTTCCTATACGGTAAATTTGTTTAATAAAACAGAAAGCTATTCACTTATTTCCGCAAATTCCGTTGTTTGATTTCTCGGTCGCGTATCCACTCCAATTCTTGTATAATGCCTCCCGAAAGAAGCCCAAAAAAGAACTCCTTATATGGCGAGTTTTCTACGCAAACTGATGCGCCAAAGACTCCGGAGATAGATATTCACTCGGAAAACCAAGGGGCAGTTCCAAAAAAGGTAACACGGAGTGAACCGGCGTCACGTAACCAAAAGGAACGCGAATATGACCCATCTATGAGCGTTTTCATATTTGAGGCTGACAATTTGGTACATTTCTGTACCAAATTTTCTTCACTCCCCATAGATGATCTAACGGTGAACTTGCTTAAATCTTACATACAGGACATAGACGAATACTATGCGGAAGTTAGCGAGCATATCGGAATTTATCGTTGGCTGCAGATGGCGAACTACCCCCAACGTTCAAATTAGTAGCCAGGAATAAAATGGAGCTGTGCTAGGATCGGGCACACAACGTCAAGGCCCAAATTTCGGATCTTATGGACGTGCAGATGGCCCAATGTGCGAAACGTCTCGTCTAGCAGAGAAACCCCATTTTCCGGTAAAGGAGCAGGAAAATACCTTTATGTGCCTGAATGTCCCACCCTGTGACACCGAAACTTTCTCCGGAGTTTACGAAGAGTGGGCATCCTTCCGTGACATGTTCACTTCAGTTTATATTAATCACCCCAAACTTACCACTGCCCAAAAACTGTATCATCTCCGATACAAAACAACCGGAAAAGCCAGAGCCCTGCTTAAACAATACGGTCTTTGCGGTGAAAACTTTACGCTTGCATGGAATACTCTCAAGTCCCGATATGAAAACAAAAGAATCCTGGTCGACAAGCAGATTAAAACTCTTCTTGGGATACCAAGTACATTTTGAAAACAGCGAAGCATTACAGACACTTCAAAATGCTATCAACAATTCTCTGTATGTCTTAAATTCTCAAGGCGTCCCGACAGAGAATTGGGGCCCAAAACTGGCGAAAACTGCTTCTCATTCTCCCACTTAAGAAGTGACTGCTCAAGTCAAAATACGTGCGCAGTTTGCCATAGAAACCATCATTCGTTACTCCATGTGACCACTCACAATGATCAAAGCCAACAGGAAAAAAACGTATCGCAGGCATCCAACCGCCAAACAATAAGGCGATCCAGGAAAGCTCAAAACCCGAAGGAAACACAAAACAAGGAAACCAT